GCGATTGCTTTGTCGGAACTTTTACACCGACCCACATACACTGTGCCAAAAGATCCTTCACCAATTTCTTGGAATTCGTACTTGTCTTTTGTATTGTTCATACGCTCAAGTTCAGATTGAAAATCCTCCGATTCGCACTTCTACGATTATAAAATATTTTAGTAGCAAAGTTGGTTAATTGAAAAACAGAGAAAAAAGCAAAGAAACTCGAGTGTTACCGGTGAATCGAAAGTTTCTCCTTTTACGCAACAACAGCGCAACAATTTACAAAATAAACTTTTGAAAAACTGTTTAAATCCTCCTATCTTTAAATCTCTCTTAGATTTGTTCACCTCGAATGATGAATCTCCTTTGTAAGCGGAGAAACACTCATTGGCGGGCAAATCATAGAAATCCTACGGAAAGTCAAAATAATAATAATTGTTACTCTTAATGCGTATTTCAAAATCGAATAAAGACCTATTAATTCACTTTTAATCAAAAAATTAATTTATAAGTTGTTTAATGAAATTGAATAACTTACATTATTAATCCATTTATTTTGATTTTGCTGACCGTTGGGTTCAGCGCCATCACTTCTATCGTAACTGAAATTTTATAATATTAAAATTTTAAATAAATACCAGAGAAATATCATTCGTAAACATTGCTTTTGATTAAATTTACCTTTTTCTTTTCATTTTCTCAGTAGAAAATCGCAAACGAATACTTTGCAAAGAATGCTCCATTACGCTTCAACAATTGAAACAATTGGAAATTGTTACATCAACAACATTGTTGTAAAATGACATTAAAATTAATGTTGTTTTTTCGATTTATATGAAATTCTGTATGTGAAAAAAAATTTCAAATCTAGTAAGGAGTTTCTTAACTTTTTCGTTAACATTTGCAATCTCTTATAATATTTTATTGAAAATCTTTTATATAAAAGATATAAAACAATTTATTATAAAATGTCGAAAAACTTTATTTTCTGGGTATAAATAAGTTCTTTGAGATAAGAATAACGATGTAAATCTTTGTTAGGGCCAACTTTTTTCCAGATATGACACACGTCATTTCTATCACCTCACACCCTCAACCTTTAACTAATACAATTGAATAGCATCAATCTCGTAGTACCAAATTTCTTTGCAAAACTATAGACATTTTCGATAAACGCACAGGAATCGTTTTCATGAATTTGTGCTCTTTCACACATACAAAACAAACCCCAAGTTTTCCGATTTTTCGACGATTAAAGGTCTTTTCAGTCCAAAAATGTATACAAAATTTCAGGATTTTCTGGTTCTTTAACCATCGCCATTCATTTTTTTCTCGTTATATGTGACCAGAAAGAATATGAAAACGGTTCAAAATAATACGTGTCTTTACAACGAACAAACTTTTATTTTTCCGGACGAAACACTAACGTCTTTGTATTTAGTATAATCTTGAGAAGTGGCTCTGTTATATATAAAAAAAGCGCTGCAGTGTCCCAGTGGATTAAACCATCGAGCTCGTGGTTCGCGCCTCACCAACGAGTTAGCGACGTGGAAGATTTCGAATTTTCTACACTTGTCTCGCACCCAAATAAAGACCAATTTTCTTCAGAGAAAGACCTCCCTTAAGACATTTCCCTCGATGTTTATCGATGGCGGGTATGAATAAATCGATTCTGTCATAACCTTTCGACAGACTTTGAAACACTGACGACCATGTGCTATTACTGACCACATGATCAGTGTGGTCAGTAATACCACATGATTTGGTATTACTGACGACACTGATCATGTGTCAGTTAATGACACATGATCAGTGTCAGTGGTTTACTGATCAGTAAACGACCCCTTTTATAAATACTTTAATTAACGTATAATATTAAATAAAACACAATAATTAGCTTTATATACATTTATACGTTTAATTTCATTTCCTAGTGTAAAATAGCTTCCACTAGGAAATGAAGCGAAACACTTAAAAATAATATGCAACACAGTTACTTTTAAAACGAATAGATGTTAATTTCAACTTAATCCTTTTGGTTATTGCACGATTTGCAAATTATACCGTTAACGTAATACAGAAAATTCAAATGACAATTAAAAAATACAAGTAAGCTTTTACTGCATACAAAGTAAGTTTGAGACGTTGTGGGTTGTTTAGTGTATAAACTAAGTAGTAGACGAAAGGAAACGGTAATTATATTGGTAAAACGAGGAGAAAGTTAGCTACGAGATCGAAGGAACACGTGACGTCAATTAGATTAGATTATAGACAGTTCACTTAGTTTTTGCATTGCACGGGACAATGCAATACGATAAGTAAAAAGATTGATACGAGATATTGTGAGAACTCTACATAAAGAAAGCTGTTTTAGGAACATACTAAAATATTACAACAGTTCAATTCCAATTAATTTCATTAAAAGTATAAATTTAGATGACATTTGGCAAAGTCTACTACATAAGTATTGATATAAGAAAGCGCAGTCATAAAACGTTCTTCTTAACGTCTTCGGGATTGTCATCTGCAGTTGAAAACAGTTAAGTATTCGAAATTGTACAAATTTTTCTGTTATGTGTCTATAACCTGAAATGGGATGTTTTAATCTGAAATGTGTAGGGAGTAAAAATTTCTTTTACGAATTCAACTCTTGATTAAACAGACTTGATTATAACGCCATCTCGGGTTTAACGTTTCGTAGACATAATTTTATTGCCTGTTTATTTTTCCGGCTGCGTGTCTTTCGTTAATCTCGAGAACGTAGTTAAGACCAGAAAAAAAAAATCGGAGCAACGCAGTGAACACGAAAGAGGAAACCAAAAATAAAACCGGAAAGTAAGAAAACTCCAATTTACTATACAGAAACTTCGAAGAGAACCGAAAGTAACGTAATATCAATTGCGAAATTTTCACCGGATAGATCAAGGCACGAATTTTTTTAAAGGTAAAGTATAATGCACATGTCAAACAACTAGTAATTTCAGGTAAAAGAATATATTTTTAATCAAATAATTAAAAGAAAAATTAAAAATTTTAGCCAGCATTGTGACCATGTCACAATAATTAATTGCTCGTTTTACTTATCCTCTTGGGATGCCGCGTGTCATATATGACACGCCATTTTCCTTCCAAAGAATGAGAAGCAGCTCTGCTTTTCTGCTTGCTAAACAATTATGTTACTTATACATTTTGTCATTACAGTTTAGTGAAGCTTATTAAACCACATGCATTCCACTGTGACAGAAACAAAGGAAAATATAAGTGATTGTCTGAGCATATGTTTGTAAAAGTGATCATAAGTATGACTGCTCGATGTCAGTATTCAGTTTTCTCTATTTCTATTGATTATAATTTTACAATTTATACATATTCTTGTTGAGGAGGCTTTTAAGATTATACAAGAGTATTTTTTAAAAACTATATTAATAACAATATTTTATGAGATGAGCTAACTTTTCAACGTGTCGTATACGACACATTGGTTCTCTATGTTACAATAATTACATTACAGTGTATGAACTGTTTTCGTATTTGCAAGTTATTTACTTTTATAGGTATTTGGTCATTAGGACCGCAATATGTATTCTACTATTTATTATCATTCTTTATTCAATTAATTTATTAAAAAAATAATTATTTATTTTTATTCATCACAAATTTTTGTAAATTTTTTGTCTACTTATTTATTTGGTCTGCAAGATTTTTTTTTATTAAAAACTTATAAATTCTTAATATCGTAAATCACATATTTATAATAAACGTCAATGATTTAGTTTTAATTTCTCATTGTCAACAGTCGAAAAAAATAAGAAACATGATAGGACACACGATAAGACACATGATATTGATAGAAATTTGTCTGAAGTGGAAGGCTGGTTCAGTGATAAAGACAGTGATAAAACATTTGTTCTTTGAGAAGACTGTCCTGGAGAGTGTAAGTCATTAGTCTGCTCAAAAAACAAATTAAAAAAGTGTCAAAATCGCTATCACATTCAGACAGTACAGGCAATAAGAAAAAAGGGATCAATAAAAATGACGAAAAAAAA